TAAATTGAATTCACAACTTATGAAATGCAATTAGAAGTAATCAAATCATATTGCAAGCATAAACATGTGTTTCGAATCCCCCCTAGCCAAGGGGGGGTTTAGTTCCTCATACGCACAAAACAAAGAGAATTGAAATTAAACATTGAAATCAAAGGAAAAGAAACACCTAGAAATTCCAGCGACGCGAACTCGAATTGCATGAACTTCCGAGCTTCCTTCTCCTCCTCCTTGGTGCGGCAAGGGTCTAGGGACAGGTTTTAGGGCCTTAGGTGTATGGATGTATGGTTATGGAGGGATGTAGTAGTGTTTAGGGGAAGGGGATGGTGCGGCCAAGGTCTAAAACTAAGGAAAGGGGTGTTTGGTGGCTGCGGCAAAGTTGTGGAGATGTTTTGACGAATTTATGGAATGAATGAATGTATATGAGAGGTGGTCCTCTGATCTAGGGGTTAATATGAGTATATATAGGCACTTAAAACCCTAGGGTAATCAGATATGGACTTGAATAACCCAAATCAACTAGGAAATAGGCTTAGAAAATCAGAAATAGAGAGGGATAATGCTTCCTAGGTGCGGCAGGTATGGGATAAGGTGATAAGGTTTCTAGAATGCCTTGCAAGGCAAGGGAAATCATATTTCTAGAAGGGTTTGGGCGCCACCTTTGTAGGAGATAAGATAAGGTTCCTAAAATCATGCTTTAAGTGCCAAATTTGTAGGGAAAAAGGGATAAGGGTGCGGCAAAGCTTAGGGATAATGTTTAGGGCTTCTAGAAAGCCCTAAAACTAAGGGGAATTGGATAAAACCCACGGCAAGGATTGGATAAGGTGCCCTAAATGGATAAGGACTCCTCATTGTACTTGGAAACTTTGCCTATTAGGATTAGGAAACCTTGTCTTCATCATTCCTTCTTCATCTTGGACTCCTTTTCCTTCTTGGACTTGGAAAACTTCTTTGTTGCTTCTCTTGAAACCATTTGGATTTTGACTTTCCTACTTCAAGTAGGAAACCTTGTTTGAGTAGGAATCATCATTCTTCTAGGAATCCTAATTCAACTAGGGAACCCATTTCCATTAGGGGCTTTCCTACTTCAACTAGGAAACCTTGTTCAAGTAGGAAACATCATCTTCAAATCTTCAATTTCGTCCATCCTCTTGGCTCTAAGCATATGATGTCCATTCCAAGCTCTAATTTGCTCCAAAAGGCTCCAAAATGCATCCTTTTGCATACTTTGCCCTTAAAACCTGAAAATACATAAAACTAGCTTAAAAGACTACTTTACTAAGGAAAAACACTTTAAATGCACAAGAACAAGCTAAACTAAGGTGCATAAATATGCTCCTATCAGTGAACGTCCACAACTATCCATTTTTTCTAAAAAAAACAAAAAAAAAAAAAAGAAAAATCATGCATAGATAAATTACTCATTTCATTTCTCACACATCAAAATCGTTGTCCTCCCTCATTTTTCTCAGAAAACAAACAACCAAACGCAATTCATATACATTTACTAATTCTTTTATTCATTTTAAATTACAAACACACCAATTACGTACTTAACCAACAACAGTTAACTAAATAACATTACAATGATATTTCAAGTTACTTATTGAAAGCATAAAAATTTGATTTGCAAATTATTTAATTCTCCACTCTTCGTTTGATCCAAAAGGGTTCAACTAGATTATTTTGAAGAGCAATGTGGCGAACTAGATTTGTGATAGCGTTGTGATGACGCAGATATTCATAAATAGTTGAACGATCTTGTTCAATTTTAACTGGGGCACTATTCATAGTATAACCCATAGATAATGAAAAACTTCCAATAGAGTCATGAACATGATCATCATCAAGGCCATCTTCATCACACTCGTCCTCCATGATGATATTATGAAGAATAATACAAGCTTGCATAATTTCAGATATCATATTCAAATGCCATTTTTGCGCATGTCCCTTAACAATTGCAAAATGAGCCTAAAGAATGTAGAACGCTCGCTCAACATCTTTGCGGTAAGCCTCTTGTTTCATGGCAAATATTTTTTTTCTTTTCCCCAATAGGCTGTGTGATTGATTGAACAATGGTGGTCCACTTTGAATAGGTACCATCTACAAGATAGTATCCTCGACTGTATTCTTTTCCGTTAATAAAATAGAACCATTGGAGCACGTACTCTAGTATATAATTAAATAAAGGTGAAACGTAGTAAAGTACGTTGAGATCGTTATGGGAACCTGGTGATAGGAGCATATTTATGCGACTTAATTGGCTTGTTCTCATGCATTTACGTTGTGTTTCTTCAGTTATTTTAATCTTTTATGCCATTTTCGTGTGTTTCTAGGTTCATATGGCTAAGGAAGCAAAATGGTGCATTTTGAAGCATTTTGGAGCAAAATTGGGCTTGGAATGGATAGCATATGTTTGGAGCAAAAGGATTGGACGAAATTGAAGGGCCTTGTATGCACTTAGGACATACAACAAAGGGCCTAGCCCATTCTCTCTTATTCTCTCCCTTATAGCCATGCAAAGAACCATCCATTCCATCAAAAACACACCTTGCCGTGCCTCTTCAATCCCATTTCCAGCTTTTCCCTTTGCATTTCCCTTTCATTTCAGCCACATGTATTCATCATTGCAGCCACCATTCACTCTTCAATCCACATGCATTCATCATCATTCACCCTAGCTGCCACTCACATGCATTCACACACACTTCACACAAACAACAATCACTTCAAACCATGCATAACAATTCCAGCACCATCAACACTTTGCCGTGCATCACATGCATTTCTAGCTTCCCATTCCATCATTTCAGCCACACTTCCACATGTATTCATCATCCTTCACCATAATCCTTCCCTCACATGCTTTCCCAACAAATAAATCAGCCAACACATGCACCCATCACCCAAAACAACACCTTGCCGTGCACATGCATTCCCTTTTGGCAATTCCAGCTTTCCACCAACCAACCTAGCTATTTTTCACATGCATTCCCTTCATCATTGCAGCCACATTCTCTCACATTCTCACCCATTCTCTACCTATAAATAAGCATCCATTGCAGCCACAAAATTCATTCAATTCTCATTCCCACACCTCAATTCAACACACCATTCCACACCATTTTCCCCTTAGAATAGACCCCTAGCCGTGCATAACTTCCCTTCCACTTCCATAACTTCCCTTCCATTTCCACAACTCCCCACTCCATTCATACAAATACCACATCCAAACCTATCCTTAGACCTTGTGCCACAACGAAGAGGAGGAGAAGAGTGCCTAAACGTTCATACAATTAAAGTTTGAGTTGTTGGAATTTTTAGGTGTTGCTTTTCCTCGATTTCAATGTTTAATTTCAATTCTCTTTGTCTTGTACGTATGAGGAACTAAACCCCCCCTTGGCTAGGGGGGATTCGAAATACATGTTTATGCTTGCAATATGATTTGATTACTTCTAATTACGTTTCATAAGTTGTGAATTCAATTTAGTTATCTATGTGATTGACAACTTATTTATGTATGTTTATTGAGAGTGCACGCTTAATTTTCATGCATGAATATGACGCTAGAATATAAGTGAGTTTCACCTAATAGTTATGAACTTATATTCACAAGTAGTGGAGGTTGCTTATAAACAATCGCGTTAAGTAAATTCTTGGCATAAGTTTCATGCAATCATAGTAACAAGTGCTTCGTCAATGCTTATGGTTTTCATAGAACTTAACGATTCTTGCTTGTATCCCTATTATGCAATCATGTAGGGGACTTGTGGGGAATGTTTTGGGTTGTCGTATGCAATCATCCAATTCAATAACGTTAGGAAAACCTGAGGGTTAATTAGTGCAATTCACGGTTAATCTGGGGCGTTGAGAATTCATGGTTTATTGAAAAGCAATTAAAAATCGTTTTGTGTGCAAGTATAACATGTGTGGAGATGAACCCCTTAGCTAGCTTCCCATCCATTCATTTCCGTCAAATTCGTATTTACAATTTGTTTTCTTTACAATCTGTCCATTTTAGTTTAATTTCGTCAAAACCTCAATCCCCCCCATATTTTGTTTAGTCTTAGTCTTAATCTATCTTATTTTGAGTTTTGCATTCTTTGAGTCTAGTATAGTGTTTTAAACTTGTTTTTACGTTTTTGAGTCAAATCCAAGTGATTAACAATCCCTCCTAATCCCCGGTCCAGAACGATCCCTACTTACATACTTACTACAATTAATAAAAAGAGGGTTTAATTTGTGTGCGTATAATCATCACATCACCTGGCACTCCAAAATTAGCATGCCATATCCAAGTATCGAACGATGCCACATCCTCAAGAATGGTTGTTGTGCGAACATGGTGACCACCTCCCATGTAGAAAATAGCATGAATGTGAAAGAGATAGAGACCTCACTTGTATAGTGAGAGGATAAAAAGATGGATAACAATCCAATGGATGAGATTGAGATAAAAAAATCTAAGCCAATGGTTGCAAAGAGTTAAAATCTTATCTAGATCAGAAATAATTGATCATAACACAAGCATGACATAATCTAATAACGAAGCTATGGCATAGGCATGATGTAATCCAATAATGAAGCCATTCTAGTTACTTTTTTTTTTGAAGAAAAAAATTTGGTGTCAAAATCTAAATTTTTTTGGTCAAAATGTTCACAAAAATATTTATGACAACATAACGTTAAATAAATTAAAAAAAGTTAACGCAAAAAAAAAAAAAAAACAATTTGCACCTAATCAAAATATCACATAATACTGTAAAAACCTGAAATTTAGGGATAAGGACTCTCCCATTGAAGACAATATTCACTTAGGTACACAAAAATTCTTTTTAAATATTTAAATGAGTACTCAAAAGTGGTGATGGAAGTCCCTATGAGTCCCTAAATAGGGATTCCCATTGGAAATGCTCTAAGTGGCACCTTTCTCACATTTATTGATTACATCAATATTTTTTATACGAAGAGGAGGGGGAGTTTGGCCAAGCCACACAATGGGCAACCTAACTTGGTATTGAATTCGTCATCCATGATATTCAAACCTAAGACCTCTTACTTCTAAGCGAAGAGGAATACCATTAGACCTTAATATTGAGTGGCACTTTCTTAGATTTAGAATAAAGTAATTATTGAGGAAAAAAAACGAAAAAGAATGAAAACATGAATTAGACCAACCCACCAACCCAATACAAAAAGGCCCAACTTTGTACAAAAGAAAAATCAGAATAAGAAACCCCCAAAATGGGGAACAAAAAAAAAAAATCCCCAACATTTGTGACTTCTGTCGCCTCGCAGGTTCTATCTCTGGTCCATTGAGGTTCATCATTCATCAATTTTGATTTCCCAGAGCAATCAAGAAATCAAGACTCCCCATTTCTTCTTATGATTTAATTTCCACTCCCCTACTCTGACTTGATTGACTTTCCGCTGCAAAAATTTCTTAGGAAATATAGCATTGTTTGGGCTTCTAATTCAAAGGTAAATTTTGCTCAGATTGCTCTTCTCTTCGGCAGTTTTTGGTTATGCATTGTTTCAGCTATTCGGTAATCAAAACCCGTTTCGAATTGCTGATATTTTGAAGGTTGGATTGTAGAATGTACTGATTGGGTAGGAGAAATTGACATTGTAATATTCTCTCCAATACCAAAGAATTAGTCTTGTTATCAAACACATTAGTTTAGTGTGTAGACTTTCACTTAAACCCAGTACGGTGAATTATTGAATAGTTTCTTAATGTTTTTCAATACAATGCTAACAATTTAGTGTTGTATGTAGTAGCTAATCGAATCACCGATTATGCAATACTGATGTCCTTGACCAGAACAGAGTACCCTTCTCAATTGCACTGTCGTTGCAAAATCAGTTTGGCATAATACATAAGTGATGGAAATTTCGTAATTAAAGCGAAATCCCCATTTCAATTGCATGGTAGCTATAGTGCCACCCTCCCCAACTTTAGAATAGAGTATTAAATAACGGGTATTAATTCAAAATTGAAGCACTCATTCAAAGCCAAGATGAATAGTGCAATTAGAAATCCAACTTTAGGGTAGATAATAATTTTTATATATTTTTTTAGTGAATAGATTTATGTTTTTTGTGTGATATTGGTTTGATTGTGAGTTCTCCTCAGTTGAAGATTTGGATGTCTAATTGTGAGTTTCATATTATTTTAGGGTTCATATTTATTGAGCAATCTTTGTACTTGAAATTAAGAATTGTGGAATGAAGCTAGTTTAGATTTAAAAATGTTAAATGCAAGATGTGATCGCATCATTGACAACAAGTTTGTTGCAAAAGCTATTTTGTTTAGAAGCAAATGACAACTTTTTGGCTTTTGTTTTAGGGTGAGTTGAATTGCTTGAGTTTGTCCGAGGGATTTTTGTTTTATTTTGGGGTGGAAGCATCACAACCGCCATCAATGAAGAATCACACTAGGCTCTGGCTTAGAACTTTTGACACAACAGAGGAAGTTGCTTTGGCCTACGACAAGGCAGCTTACAAGCTCAAAGGCGACTTTGCCAGGTTAATTACTTTCACCTTCGCCATAATAGCTTTGTCTTCGGAGGCAGATTTGGCGAGTACAAGTCATGCATTCTTTTATCGACATTGCATGAATCGGGTTTATGTTTTTTATTTTTTATTTTTTTTTATTTTACTGTTTTTCCCTTCAAAAATTTCAGGAGTTATGGTGTGTTTGGTTATTGAGAAATTGTGGGAAGAGATGGGAAGATTTGGGAACGCCATCATTTTCTACGACATGAGTGACAAGGCACGGGAGGTGTGGTCGAAGGTAGGGATTGATGTGGTGTGGTCGAAGGTAGGAATCGAGGGTGGCTGAGTGACAGTGGAGATGAAGGTGGGCATTTCAAACATTTATAAATAATCACATCTTTTTATTATTTTTTGTCCAGTGGTTCAAGCTTGACATCCATATCATCATACATATGGGGTTTGCATTTGCCATGTCATCATTTAACGGCCAAATTAACAGAAAATTTAACGTAGGTCTGACAATGCAATGAATTCGTAAGTCTTTTTCGATTTAATAGCAATAACAATTACCCTTTCCTTACTATTGCTTTGGTAAAACGAGTGAAATTGCTTTTACCTTAAAAAAAATATCAGTACACATGGAATATTGAAAAAAAAGAAAGCAAACACATGCCATGATTTTTACGGGTATGTACAAAGTACAATCATAGTGACGGAGAGCGTGAAGTCCAAGTCTCATACAGTGGCCATGACCAAGCGGAAGTAACACGACTTTTTCATTTTATTTTTTAAAAATGGATCTGTTAATGGCTTTGCCATGACAGTCCACCATTCTAGAGGTTGGAAGAGCACATAGGCATTTCAACCTTCGAGAGCCAACATCGTGTGATTCACCAACGCTAGAAATCGAATCAGAACGTGCAATATCAAATAGAGAGATTATATTCACACACTCTAAATTACTTCTCCCACACCCCTTTAATTTTGTAATATTTTCTACACACCCCTAGCACTTGATAAATAAATATTAAAAAATTAAAAGGTTGCGGGAGAAGTAACTTGGGGTGTGTGAATATAACACACACTAACTTAGCGAACCGATGCCCAATTGACAATCCTATGATTAGGACCGTTTTAGGAATGAACATAAGAGAAAGGTCTCTTTGACCTAACTTACTTAGATCACTTCTTTCTTAGATTGAATACATTCCATGGATTCTGTTATTGATAAACACATGTTACACTATATAGTGATTAACAATAAGTTTTGATTTTTCATTAAACAAATAAGAGTTTACATCATAAGTATTCCAATAGCTATTAGATCAAATGAGTGGCTTTAAGGGCATACTTCCAACATCATCAACTTACGGATTCGTTGTAATGTCAGGCTTTCAATAAATATTATGCCAATTTGGCCATAAATTATACGTGTCAAATGTAGGGCCCATATTTTTGCTGATACGAATGTCAACTTTAAGTCCCATGGACAAAAAATAATACAAATTTGTTATTATTTATAAATATTTAAAACTAATAACAAATATTATAAAATAAGAAAATAATTTTTCACTTTGGACCATACATCCCCACCTTCGTCATTACAGTCACCCCACCACCGCCTCAAATCCTCATTACTCCTCCCCTTTCCTCACTTTGTTCCCTTCTACCTCCTCCTCCTACTACGATTTTCTCTCTTTCCAAAACCAGTCCAGTTCCTACAACAATGGTTGTTCCACCTCTCCACGAACCAAGTTTTTTTAGACAAGTTCTTTGAGCAGCATCACCAATAATTGCCGTCAATGAAGAATCACACTAGGCTCTGGCTTAGAACTTTTGACACGATAGAGGAAGTTGCTTTGGCCTACGACAAGGCAACTTACAAGCTCAAAGGCGACTTTGCCAGGTTAATTGCTTACACCTTCGCCATAACAACTTCATCTTCAGAGGCGGCTTTGGCGAGTACAAGTCATGCATTCCTTTGTTGATGTTGCAATGAATGGGGTTACGTTTTTATTTTTTATTTTTTATTTTATTGTTTTTCCCTTCAAACAAATTTCAGGAATTATGGTGTGTTTGGTTACTGAGAAATTTTGGGAAGAGATGGGAAGATTTGGGAACGCCATCATTTTCAGCGATATGAGTGACAGGGCGCGGGAGGAGTGGTCAAAGGTAGGAATTGAGGGTGGCTGAGTGACAGTGAAAACGAAGGTGGGCATTTCAAACATTTATAAATAATCACATCTTTTTATTATTTTTTGTCCAGTGGTTCAAGCTTGACATCCATATCAGAATACATAAGGAGCTTGCATTTGCCACGTCATCATTTAACAGCCAAATTAACAGAAAATTTAACGTAGGTCTGATATTGCAATGAATTCGTAAGTCTTTTTCGATTTAATAGCAATAGCAATTACCCTTTCCTTACTATTGCTTTGGTAAAACTAGTGAAATTACTTTTACCTTAAAAAAAAATCAGTACACATGGAATATTGAAAAAAAGAAAGCAAACACATGCCATGATTGATAGGAGCATATTTAGGCGACTTACTTAGCTTGTTTTCGTGCATCTATGTTGTTAATTTATAGTTGTTTTAGTAGTTTAAGCCATTTTCGTGTGTTTTTAGGTTCATATAGCTAAGGAAGCAAAAAGATGCATTTTGGAGCATTTTGGAGCAAAATTGGGCTTGGAATGGATAGCATATGATTGGAGCCAAAGTGTTGGACGAATTTGAAGGCCTTGTATTCATTTTGGACATAAAACAAAGGGCCTAGCCCATTCTCTCTTAAACCAACCCCAAGGCCATGCATTTCCTTCCAATTCCAAAGCCCACAATCACTTCAAAAGCCATGCAAAGAACCATCCATATCATCATAAACAATCATGCACTCCACATGCATTTCCACCCTTACAAGACCCTAAACATATCATCCACACAAATCTGCCATCATTCACACATTTCTCCACTCATTGACGTGCACATTCACTCACCACAAACATTCCACATGCATTCATCAACATATCTAGTTGTCACTCACATTCATTTCTTTCATCATTTCCAACCCACATGTTCCTTTAATCATTCACACATACACCCATTCACCACCAGAAATCATCCTTTAAAACATTGCACATGCATCCATAATCATTCATTTCAGCCATTCCACATGCATTCATCATCATCATTCTAGCTTTAATTCACATGCACATTCAACATTCCAGAAATTCTCCCATGCCGTGCACATTCTCCTTTCATTTCTGTCAAAGCACATGCATTCCCTTCATAAATAATTCACATGCATTCATCATCATTACCCCTTTAATCCACATGCTCTCCCATTTCAGATTCACCACAAGAAAACACCATCATTGCCGTGCACATGCATTCCCTTCCATTTTCTGCTTGCATTTCCAACTTTGCACATCCATATATTCCTCCTCCTAGCTGTCATGTCCCCCCCATTTTACCTATAAATAAGCATCCATTGCATTCATTCTCATTCACTCTCATTTTCATACACATTTCAGTCACAAACTCTTCCATTTTCAGAATGTAGACATCAAACCACCCTTGCCGTGCTCTCCCTTACAATCCAAACACCATACTTCCATCCCCCCAACCAACTATCCCTAGACCTTATGCTACAACGAAGAGGAAGAGAAGAGGAAGAGGAGGGCCTAAACGTTCATACAATTCAAGTTTGAGTTGTTGGAATATTTAGGTGTTTCTTTGATTTCAATGTTTAAATTCAATTCTCTTTGTTTTGTATGATTGAGGAATGGAAGAAAAGAGTGCTTAAACGTTCATACAATTCATGTTTGAGTTGTTGGAATGTTTAAGTGTTTCTTTGATTTCAATGTTATAAAGAACTAAATCCCCCTTTGGCTAGGGGTGGTTTCGATGTAGCCTTGCAAAACTATTCCATGTTATTAAGTTAAAGTATTTGATTCACCAATCTGTGTTCTTGTTTCATTCACTGATTTTATAGTTTAATTTGTTTGTTAATCTTAATGTTTGATCACCATTAGGGCTGCTTATGAATTATTTGATCAAGGTTATAGTACACATCATGCTTAATCTTGGTAGACATGTGAATGAATGAAGAAACTGCTATGCATACATCCTGCCATGTGATTTCTTTGATTCATTGAAGTTTTCTTGTTCTTAATGGATTCTTACTTGCTAATCTAAGTTGAACATCACAACTAGGTTGCATATTAGGAGTACTTGATCACAATCACACATCAAATGGATGATCATAAATAAGTAAAACGAACCCTAGTTGCAGATTGGAGAGTTGAATACGTTTTGACTTAACAAACATGGACTTGGTTTAGCAATGGTGAAATCGAATCCCTAGCTTCATCTCCATTGATACTATCTCATTTTATTAGTTGTTGATTCATTTATTTGTGTTTACTTCATGTTCTTGTACTTTCAAGTTACAATACCAAATCTGCCTATTTAGACTAGTTTGATTCAATTCTTAATATGCCTAGTTTGATTACATTTTAGTTAGAAAGTATCTTAGTTTGTGTTTTTAAGCATTTTGATTCATTCTATTACTCAATTTTGTCCAAAGTTACCAAAGTGCTCAAAACTGCCCAGAAAGTGATTTTAAGGCAGTTTTGAGTGTTTTGGGGCTGTTTTGAGTCTTTTGATTTGTTTGAGTGTTTTTATTGTTTAGTTTTGCATTCTTTGAGTCTAGTTTAGTGTTTCAAACTTTATTTTACGTTTTTGAGTCAGTTTCCAAGTGATTTTGCAATCCCTCCTAATCCCCGGTTAAGAACGATCCCTACTTACATTCTTCACTACAATTGACAAAAAGAGGGTTTAAATTGTGTGTGTATAATTCTCGCATCAATGATTTTTACGGGTATATACAAAGTACAATCATAGTGAGGGAGAGCGTGAAGTCCAAGTCTCATACAGTGGCCGTGACCGAGGGGAAGTAACACGACTTTTTCATTTTATTTTTTAAAAATGGATCAGTTAATGGTTTTACCACGACAGTCCACCATTCTAGAGGTTGGAAGCGCACATAGACATTTTAGCCTTCGAGAGCTAACATCGTGTGATTCATCAACGTTAGAAATCGAACCAGGACGTGCAATATCAAATAGAGAGATTATATTCACACACCCTAAATTACTTCTCCCACACCCTTTTAATTTTGTAATATTTTCTACACACCACTAGCACTTGATAAATAAATATTAAAAAATTAAAAGGTTGTGGGAGAAGTAACTTGGGGTGTGTGAATATAATCTCCCTATCAAATAATGGTCTAAACTTCGTCGCCAACTATTGAGCTACCTCGTGATGGTTATGTAATGCAACTCTTTCGACGAATTAGATTACTATATACAAGCATATGCCCCACACTTTGTGTGTGAATTTTTTTTTAATTTTTAAATTTTTAAATGGGAAGGAGAAAGGGGGAAAAATGAAATGTGGATTAGAGAGAGAAGTTTTTTTTTTTTTTTTTTCAAAATTAGAGGGGCGTGACTTTGAAAAAAAACAATAAAATTTAGTTTGTGTGAATTTACTTTACTGTCCATGATTTTATTTTATATTAAAAGATAAAATTGTATTTTTATTCTCCTTTAGTTAAGACTAGCATGAATGCCCGCGCTTTGCTGCGGGTTTTCAGATGATGAATAATATTCATAGAAAATTGATTGAAAATGCTTCAGTAATACAATTGCATTCATAAATGTAGCAAGTCAGAGAACGTATGTTTAACATGAGTAACGTTTACAAAACCACATATTTACACAATTATCTCCAAATGAAAGAAAAAGCAAGATATGGGTGAATTGATCCATAAAAAAAGTAATTTCATTTACATTGCTTATGTATTAAGTCAATATTGAGAGTCAGTATACAATCAAAATTACTTGAACGAAAGTTTACGTTGACAAAAGTTGCAAGGACGAAATATAGTGTCTTTGCATTAGAGACTGAAGTACCATGCAGTTTACACATATTTTGTTTGTTCATACAACATGACAAAATACATGTTCTGCAAGGGTTTGTATCATTCCAACAGTTGCAAAACATAATAAACATGTTTTTATGGTATGTACATTAGCTGACTTTAGTAGTGGAATGCGCAAAAAGTATATGTCCATGGTAGTGGGATGACCAAAAAATATATATCTTTGATCCTTTGCAGTAGTCCATCACGATGTCTTCCATAGTTCATTTCTTTGGCGAATGAACATCTCCAACACTGAGCAGCAAAATAGAACAAAAAATTAAGTAATTGTCCAAGTTGGCATAGATTATTGTAAACAATATGTCACTATACCTATCCTTGATTTTCTTTGTCTGTGATCTACTTCTTAAAGCACTGATCGAACTTTTGTCTGTAGGTTCAACTTTTGGGACAACCAAGTTAGAGAATTCCGCTAAGATTCTGGTTGAATTAGTAGACAGTGGTTGACTTCCCTCATCATGTTTGCTGTGAATACATGTCAAATTTAAAAAAGATGGAAATGAGCATTATAAAGTGCATGCATGATGTTTTTGTTTAATGAAATACCAACATTACTTGAAAAGGGAAAATTAACCTGTGAGCTTTTGAAGGTTCATTTTCAACAAATAATGTTCTTTTTACACCCTTGTTTGTTGCAACTGATTGGATTCGTTGAGTCTGGGATTCAAGGGTAGTAAAAGGGAGAGGGGTTGTTGCATCAATAACTTGTTTTTCAATGTTCCTAGCAGGTGTATGCGGTACAATTGAACTAAGCTTTGGTTCAACTGATGTTTGTTCCTCAATTATTCCATGAACAACAAAGTCGGTGTTGCCAAACTCATTGTTTTGATTACCAAAATGGAGTAGGAATTTTTTTGTGCTGCCAACCAATTTTTGGAGCTGCGGTGGCAACACGGAAGAGTCATCATAGCCTTCTTCTATGACCAAAGAGTGGCAAGAAATACCCAGAAGTTTTTCAGCAGTCCTTCCAATCACTAAAAAGTTGAATTGATTTGTGGCATCATCCACAATAAAATTCATCTTAAACCTAAATAAGAGATGAAAATGTCATGAGATGTGTTTTGCAGTTTAAAAAATTTGCAATAAAAACGATATTGATTGCAAAGAGATGAAAACAACGTAGAAAGAAGAAATTAGGAAATTACCATGGTTCAAGCATTTTTTTGAGCAATCCATGCTCAAAGCATTGAAAGGTTCCATATGTATTTTTCACACTTTTGTGGCAATACGGGCACGACTTGTACCACCATCCATTGGTCAGATCGTAATCGACAATTGTTGCTTGACACATGAAACTTGTATTCTGATATGATATAAAATTTTCAAATACAAATGACATTTTGAGAACAAAATCACAAACATGACATTTGCACCCTATAAAATGCATTTGCACGCAAAATATAAAGTAGAATACAGATTTTGGACATGAAATGACATTTGGAAAATGTATATTGAATCACGAAATATAAATTGTTTAATTTTTTGTGTTGAAGCTTACAAATGAAGAAACAAACAAACAAACAACATGACACTTTGTATACACAACACAGTATAGACTAAGAAACAATGTGATTTCCAAATTACAACAACCAATCAATTGCAAAGTAGTTGCAAAATACAATTGACAAAATATGAGATAATTGAGTGATGGTGGATTGACCTTGTTTAATGTCGGATCAAGAAGAAGCAATTCTTCAATTGTCTTCTGTTCTGAATCAACCATAGCAGTACTTTTCCCATACTTTTCAGCAAAAGTTGGTAGAATTTCAATGGGTGTTTTGAGGTATTCAAACCTGAGTTTCACATTTTTAGGTCCAAGAATATAGACTATAAAAATAAAAACGAAAATAAATATTAAATAAGATTTGTTCACTCACTTTTGTTTATATTCTGAAAGTAGTGGGATATCAGGATTGAAAATACAAACCGTTGAGCCTGTGGTTCCCAGAACAAGTTTTCCTATAAATATAAAGAAAACAATTATAAATACAAAAGAAAAGCAATAACATTTAGATTTTGTTAAGGTATAACCTTTATATTTCTTCACTTTGAGTGAAGTCAAAACAATGAAGACAGGAGGTGAAAGCGATTTTAATGCATCTTCTTGAAAGCTTGTTGCAGTTTCTGCCCACAGGGTAACTTTAACTTGTTCACCTCTACAATTGCAAAATGGAGTCAAAACTATTTATGTAACTTTTATATGGGCATATATGTATAAACATGTAATCATAGTTTAAGAGAAGTATGGTTTACCTAGTATTTTGAAGTTGGAGGTCTCGCTTTTTTTCAACTCTAATATTTTGCACAGTGATGTCTTCAATTGGTTGTAAAGCCATCAGACAACCAAAAACATTTACATATGATATAGTTATAAGAATCAGCTTATTAAGTTAAAAAACTAAGAATAATGATTTTAGAATAGTGACAATAGTCAAAATTAGACGATTTACCTGTGAGGTGTACATCTTTATCAACTCTTTGGTCAAGCTTATCAAATTCAATCAAATTAAACCAATGCATTGGTATCACTTGATTTGGTTTCTCAACAGGGACTATGCTAGTGTTTTTGTTTAACTCAAGCATAGCATCGTGAGGGACAATTTTGCTTGACATTCTGTTGCTGATAACACAAAATTTATCTATCTCATACACGAACCCAACTTTTAGATGCTCCAAAAAGAATTGGATGTCCCAGGGTTTCATGGTTGCCTGAATTGCATGTCCCTTTTGGAGGGGAAAAACAAAATTAGATCGATTAATCTTTAAATGAGCAAAAAATGCATTAAATCACATATCAAATAATGTATAAAGCATGTTTTGTATGGCTATAGCATAGAGCAATATATGCATAAAAGCAAATCATACAAAGTAACAAAGTTACTATTTTATAGATTTGAAAATTTAAAGATTGACATTTGGACAAAAATATGCATAAAATGATGTAGATTTCATATATTTTCTCATATGCATTAAAGACTGAAATTGTAATACAAAACCAGATGGAATGTGAATAAATGAGAAGGAAAAATTGAATTAATACTAATTGTATGATAAATGCATTTCGACATATATAAATTTGTACCTATTTAATAATGAAAAATAAGTGTAAAGATTTAACCTCTTTGTCAACAAAGACACAGTCCAAACTTGCAGGTTGACGATCAGCTCCAATATTTTTTGTCACCCAAATTCTGCATATCCTAACTTGTAGTTTCCTTATAGGGTTGTATGGTAACAAAAGACGAATTGGCATATGCTCCATCAATCTATACAAAGTAAATTTAAAAGCAAATAAAATCTTCAAAATCATACAACACACAGATGAAACAAAGAATACATTAGAATTCTAAAAAATAGGCAAAAAGAGAAAAAGAAAAATGAATGGACAAACACAAACCAACACACCTTCATGTAAACGATTCAAAACATCTTTATAAACAATGTTCTTTGTGTATCCGTAAGGCATATCACAATCATGAGCAATCACAATTTTAAGACCCTTTTTTGAAGTGACCCTAGATAATGCAACGTAGAGCTGTCCATGAGAAAAAACTGTTTGAGATAGAAATAGCCCAACAATCTTCAAAGATTGTCCTCGACTCTTATTAATTGTCATTGCATAGAAAATTCTAAGAGGAAATTGTCTTCTTCGCAAAGTAAACGGATATTTATTTTGTGATGATTCAGTAATGATTCTTGGAATGTAAACTCTTTCACCAATGTTGCTACCCGTTATGATCTTTGCTTCCACAATTCTATCAGTTAATTGCATCACCACCAATCTTGTCCCATTACACAATCCAGAACTTTGATTTAAATTCCTAAGCAACATTATTGGCATACCTACTTTTAATGCCAGCTTGTGGTGTGGCAAACCAGGTAAGTCAAGTTGGTTTAAAAATTCTAATGGGTATAGTATATCAAGATTTTCAACATTTTCTGTTGAAGAAGACACATAATCAAAACTAAGATATGTGCAATTTTCACTAGGCACCATAGTTAACATAAAATCATTTATCTCAATCATTGTGTCGTTTCGCAGTGTAACAATAGCTCTTTCTTTCAAATATGATACATCATGAAAATTTCTTTGAAAATCTGTGTACACCGCTGAAACCATGTTTTCAATGAGATTGTCTTCAAAATCAATGAGAAAGTCTTTTGATATTTCAACCCAAGAATTTTCTTCATCAGTTGACAATATAGAATTAGCGACACTACCGTTTCCAATTTGTAATATCCCATGAGCAAAATCAGCCAACTCTTGTTTTTCCTTTTCATTCAAACCTGTTTTTGAAAGTCTCATGTTTTCTTTGAGAAAAAAAAATGGTTAAATAAGGCCAAAGATAAGAACTTGTCAACGAAGCTTCAACAATGTCAGCCTTAGTTCCATTTGGGTCAATAGGCAAAATTTGTCTAAAATCACCTCCGAAGAGAATTGGCTTTCCTCCAAATGCCAAATCATCAAAACCTAGTTTTGAACCTTTGAGAACATCACGAAGAGATCTATCTAAAGTTTCAAAACATTGTTTATGATTCATTGGTGCTTCATCCCAAATAATAAGAGCTGCATCACTAATTAATTGTGCTAGATGAGTTCCTTTTTTTATTTCACAAAGTGAACAATCTGTAATGCTAATAGGGATTTTAAATCGAGAGTGTGCAGTTCTTCCTCCAAGAAGCAAAAGGGAGGCAATTCCAAATGAAGCTACTTCCAAAACAATATGGTTTTCTGATCTAATCTTAGCTATGATAGTAGTCCACAAAAAAATTTTACCAGTCCCACCATGTTCATGAACAAAAAACATACCAGACTTATTATGATCAACTACCTTTATGACACTATCATAAACTATTTTTTGTTCTTTATTCAACTGTACAACCAACTGTGAATGTTGCTCTTTCAATGATTCAGTGTCGTAGTTTAACTCCTCTCTTAAACTTCTATTCTTAAGTCTATCTATCACATCTTTGCTTGGAATTGGGAGATGATGTTTAGATAGAGAACTATTTGAAGCAACAAACAACTTTTCTAACTCATACAAAAGAGAATTTTTAAGTTCATCCTCATACTTAGACATATCTTGCAAGCCAAAAGCATTAATCATCTTTATTGAGATGTCATCACACATCATTTTCCAATGTGCCTCAAACAAAGTTGTTGGATCAGCAACATCACAAAACAAAACTAATGTAACAAACAATTGTCGCAATTGATGCGATGATGCGGTAACTATCGCTTCTAACATTGCATTGTTCCACTCCTTGTCATCTCCCAACAGGCCAAGCAAGTTGCATGCAGCCTGAAATGTGGGTTGAAGAACACCTCTAATTGTTTTTAAATCATCAAAACAAAAGCTACCTTTTTGATAATTAAGCAATAATCTCAAATAGTATAATTCACCGGCAGCAGGGTGAACATATGCAACTCTACCTGGACATCTACCATTTTTCCTTCGGGTCCACTCTTTATTATCACTATTCCAAACATATTTTGAAGGAAATTCAACATAAAACAACTGGCGTGCATTAGGATCTTGAGTATTCATTTCAAACCATTTTGTTAACATTGTGCTTTCAAGATTAGGTTGGTTAGCAACATAGTTTAAATTATCATTGTCTTTAAAGATAACATTTTGGTCAGAAGATAGATGCACACATAATCTTTGAACAGCTGGTTCTCTAAAATGAATATGAAATTGTAACAATCTCCAAACTGCTTCATAAGGACATAAATATCTGCAATTTAGATAAGCTACAATCTCATCAAACTCTTGATCCTCAAAAACAACTCTAGCCCTATCAACACCCTTGGTTATATACTTGAAAAGATATTTAATAAGCATTGATTGACAACACGATTCAATATTTATATGAACTTGATAATTTAATAACAATTCACGATTATAAGGGACAACAAACACATTATTAAGCTTCACTCCATTTTTAACAACAAAACAATTCTCCATTTCCTTACGCTTGTATGTGACAAAACTATCAGATTCAAAAGTAGTTTCATTTGCAAAACGTTTTGGGAATTTCTTGAAACATTTTTTTTCTTTCATGCAAGGAGATTTTTCATTTGCAAGACCATATGGACCATGAATCGTATACTGTGCAACAACATCATACCCACCTTTGTCAAATTCTTCGCTAGGAATTTTAGCCGAAATGATTGAATCCACATCAGAAGGAGAATGACATTCATACTCTTTACTGACCCAAACCAAGATGTGACAATGCGAGAGACCTCTTTTTTGGAATTCAACTGTGTAAATAACTGTTTGGAGAAAAATAAGACAAAAACATGAAAACGAAGCGCCTAATGTTTATGCTCATAAGAGAAAACAAACAAATAATCTTGAGAATTGGGAAAAGCGAATAACTAACCAGATTCAATTTTGCCAAAAGGTTTTCCTGATTTTATATATTTAACCATATGATCAAGTTTTGCTTTGAAAATTCTGGATATGATGTCTGGTCTGTCTTCAGCCTTACAACCAGGTCTTTCACGTAGATCTTCAATAATTTCTGGCCACTTAGCATTGCATGTAAAGGTGATGAATAAGTCAGGATTTCCCAAGTGATGACATATAGCCATGGCATCTTGATAATTATTTATCATATACCTAGCACTGCCAGTAAATGAAGTTGGCAAGATAATCCTCTTACCAATGTCTGAACCACTTGCATTTCCGTTTTTTAACGCCTCATGAATTCCTTTAAGACGCTCAGTTCTCAAAGAACTTTGATTTGTCCTAATGAAATCAAGTCTATCTTGTTCAAGTGTGGCATATGCATCTACTAAATATTGTTGAAACAATTTGCCACCCTTCGACAGGGTGCTATCTTATCCCGGTCTATCCTGAATTTGGTAACCTAGAAATGCTCTCATAGACACCCCGCCAGTCTTGGGTTTTTCCCCTTTAAAAGCAAGATTCCAAGGAAGACCTTTGGTGTATCCATCTTCACCATATGGGAAAAGAATAGGATACTGAAGAGCCATATATTTAGGATGCAACTTTGTTATCCTTTGTAGACCAGTCGCCTTGTGTTCAATAATAATATCTATTTCGGTGTGAAATTGACCGATATCCCCAACAATTAACCCTCCTATGCCGTCGCATGTTGGTTGATTATATTGGCATCATGGTTGCTTGATGTGCCATGCAAATGCAAGCGCAAAGAACTTGCTGACTGTTGATTAATTCTATCCCTTGCAAGTCTAAATAATTGAACCAACTCATTACACTCATCTAACATTTTAATGAGCCCACCAACAATTTGTTCGTCAAGTTTTGAAGATGCTTCAGAATGAGGAAAACAACCCATTAAATGATGCACCTAACCATTAATCTTAAAAACATAAGGACCTTGACCCTTGTTTATTGATGCATCAACTTTAGCCCCCATTGAAGTGAATGCCATCATTGAATTATACAATCTAACATTTTTTTTTGAAATGTGAATTTTCTTGAGAATTTGTTCGATTTAGCAAATGGTCCAAATAAGCAGGGACAGGCTTAACAGGTGGGAATTTTACTTTTTGACTCATACAGCATGCAGTGAATTGTGGCCTTCTAACAGAAGAAGCGTTTGTTTTTAACCGCTCTGTAGACCAAAATAAAGTGCCACAATATTGACATTGAAAATTTCTAGGGCCAAAATCAATATAATCTGGAACACCACCTATGAAAAGAAAGAGCGACAAAATCATCCCCAAAGCAGCGAACAAAAGTTAAGTTTTTAAAAAAGCAAAAAAAAATGCAAAGATAATTATATCGTAAGAGCGCATACGTTTTCTTTTTTTTTGATAAGCGGCTTGACCAATCACATGTGAGCTTCTAACAGAATGATCAACTTCAGTATCAGTGACCAATATACCACGCAAAGTGGCATCATGATGCGTTACGAATGTGACACATAAATTAAACCCTATTTGTCACAATTGTAGTAATGATGTAAGTAGGGATTGTTCTAACCGGGGATTAACTAGGGGTGCTAAACACTTGACTCAAATAAATAAAACTAATCTTTAAACACTTAATTCACTTAACGAAAACTCAAAATAAGTCCACAAGACTCCAAATACTTAAAAACACAAAATAAGATAGATTAAGACTAAACAAAATATGGGGGAGATTGAGGTTTTGACGAAATTAAACTAAAATGCACATATTGTAATTAAGGGCAAAATGTAAATATGAATGTGATGAAAATATGGATGAATGCTAGCTAGAAGGTTCTTCTCCACGCATGTTACACTTGCATACAAGATGATTTTCAGTTGGTCTTTCGATGAATTATGAAACTCAACACCCCGGGTTAATTAGGTCCGCTTAAATTAACCGTCAAGTTTTCCTTAAGTTAATGAATTGGATGATTGTATGCGACAACCCAAAGCATTCCCCACAAGTTCCCTACATGAATTGCATAATAGAGATACAAGCAAGAATCATTAAGCATTATGAAAACTATAAGTGTTGACGAGGCATTCGTTACTATGATGAGCATGAAACTAGTGCCAAGAATTCATTTAACGCGATTGTTTATAAGCAACCTCCACTACTTGTGAATATAAGTTCATAACTATTAGGTGAAACTCACTTATATTCTAACGTCATATTCATGCATGAAAATTAAGCGTGCACTCTCAATAAACATACATAAATAAGTTATCAATCGAACAGTTAAACAAATTGAATCCACAACTCATGAAATTCCAACCAAAGGTAATCAATTCATATTGCAAGCATAAACATGGTTTGGAATCACCCCCTAGCTAATGGGGGGTTTAGTTCCTCATACGTACAAAACAAAGATAAGTAAATTTAACCAATGAAATCGAGGAAAAGAAACACCTAAAAATTTCAACAACTCAAACTCGAATTATATGAACGTTTAAGCACTCTCCTCCTCCTCTTTGTTGTAGCACAAGGTCTAAGGATAGTGTTTTGGAGGGTATTTGTATGTGGAATGGAGTGGGGAATGGTGTGAAGTGTGTTGGGGGGATGGGGAGTGTTGGAAATAGAAGTGATGGTGTTTGGATTATGCACGGGTTTTGATTTGTTTTCTGGTGAAAATGAATGTGAAAGCCACGGGTTGGAGTGTGTGATTGTGTTGTGGTAATGGAGAATTTCTGTGGTGAATGGAGGTGTGGAATCGTCTTGATGTGTGATGGGATTGCATGGTTTTATAGGGAGAGAATGGGAGAGAATGTGAGAGAATGTGGCTGAATGATTAAAGAGGGAATGCATGTGGAATGACAGCTAGGTTGGTTGGTGGAAAGCTGGAATTGCAAGGGGGGTGCACGGCAATGAATTTGTGTTAGGTGATGGGTGCATGTGTTGGCTGAATTAATGAAGGGAATGCATGTGAAAAACAGCTAGGGTGAATGATGATGAATGCATGTGGATTAAAGAGTGAATGGTGCCTGCAATAATGAAATGGAATGCTGGAAAGGGTATGAAATGCACGGCAAAAGGGGTGTTTGGTGCTGGAAATGAATGTGTTTGCATGTGAATTAAAGCTAGGGTGAATGATTTCTTGGTGAGGGGATGCATGGGTTGATGAATGGGAAAAGTTGCTGAATGATGAAAGGGGAATGGAAGAATGTGGCTGCAATGATGGTGTGGAATGCTGGAAAGCCACGGCAAAGGGGTGAATGAATGAATGTGAAAGCATGTGAGATGGTGATCTGATCTAGGGGTTAATATGAGTATATTTATGCACTTAAAACCCTAGGGTAATCAGATATGGACTTGAATAACCCAAATCCATAAGGAAATAGGCTTAGAAATCAGAAATAAAAAGAGATAATGCTTCCTAGGTGCGGCAGGTAAAGGATATGAGGTGATAAGGCTTCTAGAATGCCTTGCAAGGTAAGGGAAACTCACGGCAAGGATGGATAAGGTTTTTAGAACAAGGATAAGGTATCCTAAATGGGTAAAGTGCCCTAAATGGATAAGGACTCCTCATTGCACTTGGAAACTTTGCCTATTAGGATTAGGAAACCTTGTCTTCGTCATTCCTTCTTCATCTTGGACTTCTTTTCCTTCTTGGAATTGGAAAACTTCTTTGTTGCTTCACTTGAGACCATTTGGATTTTGACTTTCCTTCATCAAGTAGGAAACCTTACTTGAGTAGGAATCTTCATTCTTCTAGGAATCCATCTTCAACTAGGAATCCCTCGTTGATTAGGAATCCTTCTTCAATTAAGAATCCTTTGTTGACTAGGATTTCATCTTTTAATTAGGCGCTTTCCTACTTCGACTAGGAAACCTTGTTCAAGTAGGAAACATCATCTTCAAATCTTCAATTTCGTCCATCCTCTTGGCTCGAAGCATATGATGTCCATTCCAAGCTCTAATTTGCTCCAAAAGGCTCCAAAATGCATCCTTTTGCATACTTTGCCCTTAAAACCTGAAAACATATAGAACTAGCTTAAAAGACTACTTTACTAAGGAAAAACACTATAAATGCACAAGAACAAGCTAAACTAAGGTGCGTAAATATTCTCCTATCAAATTCCCCCACACTTAGCTTTTGCTAGTCCTCGAGCAAAACAAAATGAAACAAAGTAAATAAACGAAGTAAAACGAGTAAAACACAACCTACACCTTCCAATAATCGCCTCAGGGATTTCCAATGCACATGACATGTTAAAAATCGTTATCTCCACAGATTTAAGTCATATTCACACTTAAGTACATTCTTAATCATAGTCACCACATACTAGTTCACAATTAAGCATTTAAAACCATGTTTTGAATGTAGTAACTTGCCTTAGAGAATTTGCTCAATTCCTTACAAGATATGCCCTCAATTTTCACTCAGAATGTCTAACTACACATCCTAATCTAGTTATATGTGAGAAGATTGATGTAAACATGAAAAGAACACTTACATATGTTTATAACAAGGAAAGCACTTTTATGGAATGTATATGAATAAGATCTCATGAAAGGAATGCTACCAATTAGATGCAAGAACCAGGGATACCATATGCTTACATCAATTCCAAACTCCACATTATTGAAAACATAATGATCAAGATTGAAGCATAAGGATTGTAACGGGGTAAGGGTGATTGGCTAACAATGAAAGGTAAGGATAACACACGTTCTTTAAGCAATAGCAAGCAAAGTAATGAAATTTGACACTTAGAATCACTTATGATTGCAGAAACTCACTTAGACACAGGAGGGGAAAATTCACACTACTCTTAGGGCCATATTTAACGTTTTGGACCCTTTCTTTAACTACCACAAACATGTGAGCTTATTTTCACTTATTTCATCCTCTTTTTCTTTCTTTTCACAACTTTTTCTTTTCTTTTTCTTTTTCCACGAATAATTTTTTTTTTCATGCCTTATTTCTTTTCGTGGCATATCAACACACACACACAAATTCCTCCACACTTGTTGTTTTGCATATTCAAAAGGATTCCGTCTAAGTCATGCTTACTATGCTTCAAGAACAAGGGTATGGGTGGTCCTAATCTAGGCTAGGTGGGGATGATATGGGTAAACAAAGAACAAAGGCTAACAATGGCTCAATGGGGGTTATGACCTACAATATATATATAGTGCATGGGTTGGCTGTTTGGTTGACGGCTTCACTACACACTTCATCTTGATATATATTATGCAATCATGCTTTGACTGGAATGGATGCAAGTTTTAGCATTTGGAACTAAATGATGAAACGCCTTCTAATTAGCAACCAAACAAGAATAATGAGATCATGCAACGAGTTTGAAAATAAGAATCACAGATTAATATTCTCCAAAGAATGTTTAAAGCTCAAGTCTCTCAGGGTTGTAATGTTTGTTTGAGTTCCTTCCTTCAAGCATGTTACAAAAACTAATTTTTCTTTTTAGGATTGCATGTGAAGTCATACATTATAACCATAACCAAGCATATACCAAGAGTATATCAAACTTTTCTCCATGTTTATAACTCTTCTTAACAGTCATGCAATTAAAAACCAAATCCTCATCATTGT